GGAAAGAATACCCACACCCACACGCAGCAAAATCCTTCGTACTGTATTAAAATAGTAGTTCTAGTGTACAAACAATAAGCAGCCCATAACTTGATAAAGAAATCATTTCACAAACTTGTTGTTTTAACGCGAGAACAAACTTTCACTTGACTACATCACAGAAAAGCTTTGTCTTACTCCCAGTAACATATCATTTAATAAAGTATTCAATAAGTCTCTTTTCTCATGTAAATTATATAGTTTTTGGGAATATTCATTTTCTTCAATTGCTATCATTAGTTGAAATAGCCATTTGCATCTTTATAAATCCAAAATAAGTTCTTTTTTGTTCAACAATAGCATTTTATACTCAAATTATGAAAACGTTTCTTAATATTTCTGTGCTTTTTGAAAACTATTTTGAATAAAACGCTTGAACGATTTTGTACGGAGTACTCTCTCTTTTTTAAAAGAAGACAACAAAGTTCTTACGATATTCCATTCTTTTAGTGGAATTAAATATCTACAATAAATTGGATAAGCTTGAAAAGTTTCTGCGACCATACTTTCATCAATATTAAGTCTACACTTGTTTTTTCATTCCTTTGCATAATGTTTAAAGCATGTTTTATGTATAAAATTTCACAAAGCGTTTTTCATCGTTTTTTTTATATTAAATTGCATACATTCATCAAATATTTATATAATGTCTGGCAATGAGTGTAAGAGAAAAACTAATCCATTGAAAGAATAATATTTCTCTTTTTACCTTTATTCAATTGTTGACTTCTGTTTTGTTCGTTCTTTCGATAATGTTACCCACAAATATGTTTGCTTCGTTCTGTTTCTTGCTCTGTACAGTATTATTTTCAAAAGTAAATAATTGATATTTGTCCTTGAGCGACAACGAAAAATCGAAAAAAAACAAGTTACTGCCTATATAAAGAAAAACGGTGATCTTTTGTTTCATTCAAACGACAACGTCTACTGACAAGTTCACCTTCAACAACCAATTACCACAAGATCAGAATGAGCAGATCAAAATCAAATCAAAATGCTGCTGCATCATCTAAATCAACAGTATCATCAAATATTCGCCAACCACGACAACGTATGACACAGAACTATCTTCTTTTATGGTTGGATAATAGCATCGACCAAACAAACGAAGATTATGAAAATACATTAGAACAAATACAAACCATTACTGGTGATGTCAATGTCTTTAAGGAGCGCGATGCATGTATCGACCTTCTTACAGATACTGAAGAAGACATCAAGTTTTTTCTTATTGTCAAGGATACTACGTCTGAACAAATAATGCCCCTCATCAATGATATTCCTCAGCTGCATGGTGTTTATATCTTCAATGATATTAAAACCATACATGATGTATGGACAAAAAAATGGAAAAAAATCAAAGGTGTTCATACAAATATCAAAGACATATGTCAAGCATTACAACTGGCAGTTAAACAATGTGACCAGGATACAATAGCCGTAAGCTTTCTGACGGTAAATGAAATGGCTTCAACTGATAATTTAAATCAGTTGGAGCCAACTTTCATGTATACTCAACTATTCAAGGAGATTCTCCTTGATATCGAATACGGTGATAAAGCAATCAAGGACTTAGCAGTTTGTTGTCGTGAAGTTTTCAGTGGCGATACAATTGCATTAAAAATTATTAATGAATTCGAACACGACTATCGACCACAAAAAGCAATATGGTGGTATACACGAGAGTGTTTTACCTACAAAATGCTCAATCAAGCACTTAGAACTATGGATGCCGACATAATCATTAATATGGGCTTCTTCCTACGTGATGTACATCAACAAATTCAAGAGCTGTACGAACAACAAGTCAGTGATTATAGAAGAAAATCTTTTATAGTTTATCGAGGACAAGGTCTTATGAAATCACACTTTAAAAAACTTCAGAAAGCAAAAGGTGGACTTATGTCATTTAACAATTTCTTATCCACCAGTAATGATCAAGCTGTTTCCTTTATGTTCGCCGAGAGTGCCTCACAAAATCCCGACATGGTAGGAATACTTTTTATAATGTCCATTGATCCTTGCTTAAAATCAACACCATTTGCCTCCATCAAAGAGGTGAGTTATTTTAAGGAAGAAGAAGAGATTCTCTTCTCGATGCACACCGTCTTTCGAGTGAATGCAATTAAACAAATGGACAATAACAATCAGCTTTATCAAGTTGAATTAAAATTAACATCAGACGATGATCAACAACTAAGATCACTTACTGATCGGATACGAGAAGAAGCTAGTGGTAGTACTGGATGGCATAGATTAGGTCAATTGTTGCTCAAAAGTGGTCAATTTAATAAAGCTGAAGAGCTTTATAATGTATTACTCGAACAGACACCTGATGAGAATGAAAAAGCGATTTGTTATCATCAACTGGGATTAGTCCATAAGAGTCAAGGTGATTATGAAAAGGCTATTTGGTATTACGAAAAACCAATTGAAATTTATCAAAACACTCTTCCTTCCAATTATCGTAGTTTAGCTACTTCATACAACAGCATCGGTAGTGTGTATTCCAGGATGGGAGAGTACTCGAAAGCACTTTCATCTCACGAAAAAGGAATTGAAATTGAAGAAAAAATTCTTCCTTCAAATCATCCTGATTTGGCTACATCATACAACGATATCGGTAATGTGTATTACAACATGGGAGAGCACTCGAAAGCACTTTCATCTCACGAAAAAGCACTTGCAATTTGGCAAAAAACTCTTCCTTCAAATCATCCACATTTGGCTACTTCATACAACAACATCGGTAATGTGTCTTACAAAATGGGAGAGTACTCGAAAGCACTTTCATCTCACGAAAAAGCACTTGAAATTCAAGAAAAAACTCTTCCTTCAAATCATCCTGATTTGGCTACTTTATACAACAATATTGCTACGATGTATTACATTATGAAAGCCTATTCGAACGCGCTATCATATTTTGAACGTGCTCTAGAAATCAAACAACGTGTATTACCTCCAACTCATCCTAGTATTAAAGTTGTGAAAGAGAATATTGAAATTGTAAGAAAGAAAGTATAAAGAATATTTAATAAATAAATAAAAGAATATTTTGTTCACTTGTTTTGGAATTAATTTTATTTTTTAGTGACTCACGCGTGCGTACACAGAACAACTCTGTAAATAATAAAAATGTAATGGACAAAGCCGACTGATAAGGCAATACACATACATACGTATGTGTACAAATAACCCTCTCAGACCTATTTATATTTCTAATTCTTTACGACATTGTTCCCTATAATAGAAGAATAGTCACTTATTCATCATGTATTGATCAATTTAGACGTATTGAAGATGTGATGAATTATAGTTTATTCCATAATGTGGAAAAATCAACTGTAGTCCTCTGATCTCGAATTCAGACCAAGAGAGAAATTGTTTGAAGAGATGTCTTACAATGATTTCTCATTTTTTAATGGTCATAATACTTAGGTGTTTCACAGAGGACACTATAAGTTATAGAAATAGATCAGCTAAATTGAATGTGTGCAAAAAGACAATTGATTTTAACAATAAAGTAACATTCTAGATATTTATTAAACTTTCGAATCACTAAGTTAATATGGTTCTATTGGCGATATTTATATTTTATGGAAATGATTGAATGTTATTCTCTACTTCAACATTCCAAGATCGACTATGAACAAAGATCAACGGTTGTTTATGAGAAAAATGGAGATATACGACTATCCAGTAGCGAATTATTTAATAAATAACATTGTAGTTTTATTTATTTTGCATTATTGTACTTTGTTCAGGTTGCCATCGTATATCATAAAGGCTACTAGATATTTTTATTCATTATGACTTTTAATTAAATGAAGAATAATCAATTTTAGCAATAATAACATCGAGTGAGTAATAGTTTTACTGATACAGCGATAAATATAGTGACTGAACAATTGTTTCACTAAATGAGCAATATTCTCTTTCTAGTAGAGAACAGTCTAGTAAACATAAATTGACTGATTGATTCCTTGATTGTGTGTCCGTACTTCACTAATTGGTCCAAAAATTAAGTAAAGATTTAAAAGGAATTTTTTATAAGAGTTGACCGAAGGCTAATGGAGGTCGAGGAACACGAATCTCGCGTTAGTCTTTGAAATTGTTTGAATAAATATTTTACTCATAGTTAAGACATCGGCTTGTTCGGGAAAGTGCCAAAATGTCGAAAGAAAAATGTTGAAAAGCAAAATGTCGACAAAAATGAATGTCGACAATGCAAAATGTCGACAGAGTAAATTGTCGAAAACAAATTGTCGAAGTGGAAAATGTCGAAAATTGAAAAAATAAAAAATTCAGTTGCGAATGAATTATATTTATGATTGAGTAAGTTAAATCTTGAGGATGTGAGTGTGGGTATGGATGTGAGTTTGAGTGTGGGTGTGGGTGTGAGTGTGGGTGTGGGTGTGGGTGTGAGTGTGGGTGTGGGTGTGGGTGTGGGTGTGGGTGTGTGGGTATGACTATGGGTGTTCTCTTTAGATGAACAAGGGACACTCACACCCACACATGTCGACATCTTTTTTGTCGACGTTTTCACCTGTCGACGTTTTAACTTGTCGACATTTTCACTTGTCGACATTTTCACTTGTCGACGTTTTAACATGTCGACGTTTTTACATGTCGATATTTTCATTGTCGACATTTTTCTTTCGACATTTTGACACCTCATCGCTTGTTCACGTAAAATCGTACCCCTATGGGCAAATTTTCTATAAAACAATTTATTTATCATTTGAAGCTGATGATACATATAACCTGAATTTTCAGCATAGGTTTGCCAGTGATATGGTGAACACATATGTACGAAATTGGCCTGGAGTGATTGTTTTAAGTAGAGAAACAGACATGCGAAAATGTGATTCCATAATGACACATATTTCTGCAGCGCAAAGGTAGCTTTGGATATTTTTTCAAGTTTTCTTTTTCTTTAGATATTATATTATCTAGCCTATCAATCTACTACAAATCGTGTTTTTTTTATTCCTTTTGTGAAATTGAATTTTGCACTTTTGAGCAATCGATTAAACATGACGTTCCGTTTTGTGTGATTCCGCAACAGGATATATTTTTGATCGTAAAACACAAACAGATTTGGTAAACTTAAGAAA